AATTAAAACTATATTCGGAATTTTAAATTTATTTAATAAAAAAATAGCTTATTAAAAGATAGCTTCTATAAATACTTCCTATATAGCCAAAATAATAGAAGTAATTCAAGTACTAGTTTAAAATAATATCCGGATTATATTCTTTTTATAGCTTATATTTACTAAATATATTATATTTTCAGGAATTTTTATTTTTTTTAAACTTTATAAACTCTAATAAATAATAATAGTAAAAGAATTATTAAAAAAATAGTAAGAAATATAGGTTTTCTATTAATAGTAATATTCTATTACTTTATTAGAATAGTAGAAATGAATTGGCTATAATTAAATTAATAGAATAATATTATTTAGCTAATTATATATCTATTTTTATAAGTTTTCTAATATTATATTAAAGAATTTAAATACTAATTAGATAATTAAAATACTAGTCTATTATTATTAAAATTATAATTATAATAATTGATTTATATATAGGTAATATATTTATATTATATTTAATATATAATTACTAGATTTTCGAGAAAATACAAATATTTTATAATAGAATATTTACTTAATAGAATTATTTTTAGAATAAATAAAACTTTATAAATACTTTATTATTATTAGTATAGCTATTTCTTTGGGAGTTATATATATAGTTACGGGATACGGGATACGGGATATAGGTAATAGGATATGAGATACGGGATATAGGATACGGGATATAGTTATATAACCTCGTATTCTATTAGTAACTCGACTAGTAGACTAGACTCCTTTAGGCTTAGCAGATTTAGGGATTATATATTAATACTATAATACTATAATTCTTACTTCTGAATAATAACTTTACTAACTATATATAAATAGCATTCTATAACTTATATAACGGTATTATATATTACTAGTAAACCGATACTAATTAGTTAGTACTTATAGATCAGAGATAGAACAGTTGAGCTAAAGCATCTAGTAGCCTAAATAAAAATTAAACTAGTCTATATTAAAGGGGGGAATTACCTATTAACTCTATAAAGTATCCGGTAGCCTAAGGAAGAAAACAGCTAGCTTTTGCCAAGGACCGATAACCACTTTATTAAAGGGGGGAATTACTTATTAACTCTATAAAGCATCCGGTAGCCTAAAGGAAAAGATTCTAGTTCTTACTAATTAATAAGCGGTCAGCCATTTAACTATTTATCTATTTAACTTCTACTATTCTTTAAAACTAACTTCTTTTAGCCCCAAGACTACCTTTTTGGAAACCATCTTTTCTACTTATATAATATCCGTATCTATAGAATACTTTCTCCGGAATATATACCCTATATATACCCTTAAAGCTCTTTAACTACTACTTCGATTTTACTATTAAATCAAGTCCTTCGAGCTTTAGATTCTTCCGGAATTATAATATTTTACTTCCTAAATTTCTTATTACAGACGAAATATTTAAGAGCAAAATATTTACTTTAATATTCTACCAGATATCTAGTATCTCAACTACCGGGTATCTGGTATCTTAATTAGGTATCTGAACCAGGTATCTGGATATCTTCTAGATACCTTTACTATTAAACCTTTTTATAAACTTACTATAAACTACTTTATCTTTAAACCTCTCTTACTATAAATTATATATATATTAAGAAGGGCTTGGCCCTAGGGGTTCGGTATAGCAGAATTATAAAATAGATATATATAGATAAAGAAGTAGAAAGATAGTATTAACCTAATTACCTATAGTAATAAGGAAGTCCTAAACTATTTCAATACTAGACTATTCTAATATAAAATAGAGAAGTTAACTAATAACTATCTCTAGGAATTATTTAAGGAAGATTTTAATAATTTCGACCTCGAAGTACTTAATTATTTAGATTAATATATACTATATAAATTATAAACTACTTTATAATATAGTAATATTTATATTAAATAAAATAATAAGAAACTTATTATTATATAATCCTTAATTAATACTATTTAGGAAAAAAAACAATATACCTGGACTATAGCTAATATTATTACTACTAGACTAGACCTTAATACGGGTTCTATTACCTTATTATATATATTCCTTAATAATGGTATTATAAGAAATTAATAAATTGAACCGATTATTACTTATACTCTTTTACTATCTATAATTACTCCTACTAGTACCGGACTATAGAAAGTTAATAGTAATAGATTTCTACTACTTCTACTACCTCTACTACTTCCAAATAGTCTTCTAACTAGCCCTTTTACTATAAAGCTAATTAGAGAAATAGTAAAGATATATATTGAGATATAGAAGTATAATAGAACTAATAGTAGTTTCAACTAAAAACTTGCTATCTTTCTTAATATCTACTAATATATAGAGCTCCCAGAAGAGATATTAGTAAGAGCTTTTCCTACTATATTAAAGGAACTAGTATAAGACTATTTCTATAATAACTAGCTCTTTTAATATATATAAAGAAGCTTATACAAATATTTATAGTTTCTTTAAAGGCCCTAATTACTATTATTAAAATTTAGACAAATAAAATACTATTACCTTAGTAACTATAATAGTAAAAGACTCTAAAAAGATAATATTCGAGCTTATTTAAATACTAATTAATAACCTATATAAATTATAATATAGCTTTATTTCTGCTTTATAAACTATCAAATTCCAATATAATAAGATTATTACCTCTTATTAAGGCTTACCGGTATACTAATATATAGTCTCGGACTCTTCTAATAATCTCAGCTAGCTTATTAATAAGCTCTAATTATCTATTACTACCTATAAAAAGAAATAATAGATTAATACCCAGATTCTCTTTACTAATTAATAATACTATTCTCAAAACCTTCTAAACTACTATTTGTCCGGAAATTATTAATACGGATCCAGTTATAACTTCGGAACTTATAATAACTATTCCAAGTCTTGTAATTATAATAATTATATTTCGAAGTTATATTTTATATATAAGAAACCCGAATACCGCTTATAGAAGTATATACTAGAGAAATAAGAGACTAAAAAGGCTCGATTCAAGAATAGAAACATTTACTGATTTAGATCCCGAAATACCCGTAACTTTAATAAATACTTTAGTAGTATTTATATATAGTATATTACTGAATTCGAAAGAAAAGAAAATAATAAGAGTAGTAAGAATAAACTAGTAGATAATACTTTTAAAGCCTTATTAGTAGAAACAGATAAAGGAAAGAGATATTATTCTAATTCCTATTTTACTTCTATTAAGAGCTTCCTAGCTACTTCTATAGCCTCTGCTTCTACTATTCCTATAACTAATACCCTTATAAATAACCTTATATTCCTTTCCCTTATATACCAGATAATAGGCGAAAACTATACCTTAGAGCCTATTAAATAGATAGAAAATACCCAGATATTTATAGTTAATAGTATATTAAGATATAATACTTACTGCTTTTATAGAATTGTAATTAATACCGGAGCCTCCAGATTCTTAACTACTAGTTCTAACTAATTCCAAGCTTTATAGTAGACTAATAGTAGCCTCTAACTTAATGAAACTACTAAAGATTAAGTTAATATCTAGTTTAATATCGGATCTATATCCTCTATTAGATTTATAATAGTAAAAATACTAATTAGGTAAGTATAATTCTATATTATATTTATAAAAATTCTATTCCTACTTAGTTTGGCCAATATAAATAAGCTAGAGGTCTATTTTAATAATCTTACTAATTATTTTATTACTTCTAATAAATGCTTTATACCTATAATATAATATTTTGAATATTCTTTCTTATTTTGGAATACTATTCTATAAAGCTTTATTTCCGAATCCTTTATTTATAACTCCTGCTTTCTTATAGAGGTCGAATTATAATATTTATACTACTATTTTAGTTATCTATCTATTAGTAAGCTCCGAAATATACTAGAATAAGCAGGCTATAATATTAATATAGAAGCCCTTAAGTATCTTATAAAGTACTATAAGTAATACCAGAAATTCGGATAATTACCGGAATAATTCAAGTTTAACCTAAGAGATAATATTAGCTTTAACTATTCTATTATTATTAATATTTTCTATATTTCCGGTAAGTCTATATTTTATATTATTAATAAAGGCACTTAATATTAAGCCGGCCAATAGCTTTAAAATATTAGTATATTATATACTTGGGATATCCTAAAACAGTATTGGATTAATACCTATTTAGGCCCTCCCGATTAGATTATAGTAGATACCGGAAAGCAGTTTACTAATAAGAAGTTTGCTCAGCTTATAAATACTATAGGAACTAAGGTTAAAATCGTTCCTATAGAAGCTTATAATTCCGTCGGAATTATAGAATACTATTATAGCCCGATTTAATATACTTACCTTATTATTATGGCTGAAATTAATAGAATTAATAAAAATACTATATTTCAAATAGCTTTTAAGGCTATTAATAATTCCGCTAGACCCAATAGTATTATCCTAACCCTCTTGGTTTATAGTACTTTATCTCAAATAACCGAATATAATATTCTATTACTAACTATATTATAGTAATTAGTAGTACTTAAGAAAGTAGTAGTAGAAATTCAGAAACTTTAAGCTAGATATCAGATTATAAATACCCTAAATACCCGAAATAGTTCTAGTATTACTAATATCTATAAACTTCTTTTAAATTCGGATATTCTCATATAGTATAAAGGGAATACCAGTTAACCTAGTAGTTGGAATAAACCATATAAGCTAGTAGCTATTAATAGGGAGGACTATATACTAGCTCTATTATACGATAATACTATCTTCTACTCAACTTCTATAAAGCCCTTTTATATAGGGGATATTAAGGTTATTACTAATAGCCCCGAACTTAAACCTGTTCCTAAATTCTATAGTAATACCAAAAGCAATACAGGTATAATTCCTCCTACTATTCCTACTATTCTACCAAAATATAATAGAGAATACCCTTATAAGAACTCGGATATTATAGTATTCCTATAGGATAATAACTTATATAAGAACTCCTGCCAAGTTGAAATTACCGGCCTTCTAGAAAAGGGTATATTTGAGGTTACTTTTAGATTTTAGATATTAAAAAAGATATATATTTTCAACTCCCGGTTTATTAATAAGATTAAGAATAAGGGTATAGAGAGAGAGTTTAAGAAGTCGAGACTGGTTATCCAAGCTTATAATAATAGTAAGAAATATATAATATTAATATAATTACCTACTATTTAATATATTAGTTAGAGAATTATCCTTAGTATTACTACTATAATAACAGATATTATAGAACTGTATTTATATAATATCTTATAAGCTTATATCTAATTAATAACCTTATTTAACCGTAATTTTTATATTAACCTATCTTGCAAACTTACTAGAAAGCTAAATCTAAATAATAATTCGGTTCTAAAGATTATAAAACTACTATATAATATATCGGAAGCTGGGAACTATTAGTTTAAGACTTATTATTCCTATTATATTAATAAGCTTTCTATAGAATAGTTAACTTATAATTCTTATCTCCTCTATAGCAAGTAATTCTTTGGAATTATCGGTCTTTAAACTAATAATACTCTATTTATTAGAACTAATAATTTTATAAAAGTAGAGTAACTAAAATTCTATAAGGCTAAGTTCTTGGCTAAGAAGTATAAATGCCTTACTATTAACTATAATCTCAAGTTTAATAAAGGTATTATCTATATAAATACTATTAGAATTACTCTTATATAGGAATACTAGTATAAAAACCTCCGAATCGTTTCTATAAAGAATACTACTACTATAAGTAGTAGGAATACTATTTATTAAGATTTCTCTATTAAGGACTAATATATTACCTAATATACTAGAGGAGTATATATTATATTAGTCTATTAACCAGAAGCTTTATATGACCTATTAATTACTACTTAAGCTATTAAACCCTCGGAAACTAATATAAAGATACTTAATAAGTATATTTAATAGCAAATTGAGAATACTACTAGAAGACTGAAATTTATAAAGCTAGTAAAGAAGTTTTTATATTTAATTATTTTTATAGATGCTTTATTTATAAATAATAGAGATCTCTCTTCCCAAATCGGATATATTCTAGTTCTAGTAAATAGAACTGGATATACTAATATTATCTACTAATCCTCTACTAAGTACAAGAGAGTTACCAGAAGTATCCTAGCTTCGGAACTCTATAGTATGGCTTACGGTTTTAATATGGGTACTTTAGTCAAATCTATAATTAATAGAATACTGGAAATAGAACTACTACTAGTAGTCTATACAGATTCAAAGTCATTATATGAATGCCTTATTAAATTGGAAACCACTTGTAAAAAGCATCTAATAATTAATATAATATACCTTTACCAGGTATATAAATAATAAGAGATTATAGAAGTCAAATAAATCAAGAGAGAATCGAATCCTGCTAATTCTATAACGAAATCGAAGCTAACGAATACCCTCAAGTACCTAATTAATACGAATACCATATAATTGGATATAGAGGAATAGATTAAATACAGATAGGGCGGAAAATAAATATATAGGATAGAAGGATATTATAGGAGTAGAAGTTATATATAAAAGGCTGTGGCCTTTAATATATAACTAAAACCCTCAGAAGCAATATAGATATATAGAGCGTTTGGGAATTTGGTACTAGGCCGGATTAGGGAATTTGTATATAATTAGAGGGAGATACTATTTTTTGCATTTTTTAGAGAGTTTCTAGTATTAGTATAGTTATTTCTTTGAGAGTTATATATATAGTTACAGGATACGGGATACGGGACATGGGTAATAGGATATAGGATATAGGATATAGGATACAGGATATAGTTATATAACCTTATATCCTATTAGTAATTCGACTAGTAGACTAGACCCCTTTAGGCTTAGCAGATTTAGGGATTATATATTAATACTATAATACTATAATTCTTACTTCTAAATAATAACTTTACTAACTATATATAAATAGTATTCTATAACTTATATAACAGTATCATATATTACTAGTAAACCGATAATTATAAATAGAAATATTTTACTAGTTTAAATTATATTAGATTATTTTATAAATTATAATAGTTTATAGAAAATAAATAAATTATTAGTATATATTCTATATTACTAGCTTTAAATAAATATATATAGCTATTATTAACTATTTACTTTAATATAATATTTGTTTTTATATAATAAAATATATTTTATAATAAAACAAATTATAGATATTTTAAATTCAAGTAATTTTAAATTTATAAATATATTAAAATTTCTATTTATTTTCATTTTAGTATATTATATATTTCTTTTAAATATTTCTAATTTATTAATTCCGAAAATTATTATTATATTATTACTATTTTCTTAAATTTATAAAGAGTTTTCTTTTATATTATAATATAAATCCTCGATTTATAATATTACTATTAAGTATTTTTTATCTTTTAAATATATAAAAAAAATTAAATATAGATATTCAGGTTATATTATAAGGCTAAAAAGCTATTACTATAATTGTAGCAGCCAGGGCATGCTATATTATAAGACATTGCTATATAGGCTGATATCTCCTCCAATTAAGCGATTAAGGATTATGGTTAGTAGCAGTATGGTTATAGTAATCTCGGTAAAATTCTAATAAAATTTGTGGCTACTAAACATGTGGCTGCAATGTTTGTGGCTATATGTACCTTGCCGGAAAATTCCTGTTTCCCGACATCTTCCGATTAAGTTAAAGCAAAAAGTGGCCCTGTATAGAGCCAACAAAATCGGCCGTCCCCTTCCTGGGGAAATGCTTCAAACTTCCGACTTTTCACTTCCGACTCTTCACTTCCGACTCTTCACTTCCCTTTCACTTCCGGCTTTCACTTCTTCTCTCTTTGCGGTCTACAGTACCTAGAACCAACCTCTTCGATTTTTAGCCAAAGCCTCCAAGGCGAATCCGCCTGTTGCAAAATTGCTGACGAACTCGAAGATGACCTTATGGATGACAGAGTCCGTCAGAGAAGCCCGGTGTCAGCACGCAAGACAACGATGATTTAACAAGGACGTTAAGACCAGTTCAGATGGTAACAACATAGCACGACGGTGATGTGCACGGCGATAAGAGGCAATACTTCCCAAGACACAGGAATAAAGGCACAACGACGGCGAGAACAATGACGGCGAACACAATAGCGAATAAAGGTACAACCACCAACCATATGCAAAACCAACGAAGATTAACATCAACTCTACTGTATAGCAACAAGGAAGCCAGCCTGAGCTTGCCTCAAACAACGATCAGTCTATCGACTCTATTAAAACATCGTGCAGCAGTCTCCTCTTCAGTTAATACATCCACGCCACTGGAGCTCTCCACAGTTCTGGCTCAATCTCATCCTCAGCAATCTGTGTTCTGCTGGCCTGTATCACCAAGGCACTCGCTGGCTTGGGGGCATTGCTCATCCGTGCCATCTTGTTAGTTAGCTCTGGCGCTTCAAGTTCTGCACTCTTGTACTTTCGCCCACGTCTCACTATACTAGACAAGATAATAGGTTCTCAATTCTTACACGGCCTCTTAAGCTGCCACTAGCGCCTTTGTAAGTGCTAACCAAAATTCCGTTCAAGTATTTTACGCCTAGCTAGTCAACGAATGAGAAATGATCATATAGGCGTCGTTTAAGAATGAGTGATTAGACTAGAGTAATGATGAATTGGTCATTTTGAAACTCATCAACCCCGTCGAACTTGCCAAAGTCTGTTCTTATACTATCAACCACAGGTGCTCCGATAGTGGATTTGAACCCTTCTGAGTTCCCTGGTGATATCTTGAACATGCCACGACGACTAAAATATCCCGGTCGACTATCGCATGCTTGCAATATCAAACCTCGTAACCAACGGCCTGATAACATGGGTGTGCCATCATATACTAAGAGACAGTAGAATGTACTTAGCGCTTCGAAGTAGGCGTCCATTTTGACCTCGCACTCGATTTCAACCGACCGTTCTCCCATAATCAAGGTCAATCCATTTCTCCCCATGTGCTTACCATATGTCATCTTTCTGCCTCTTACTTGTAGGTGACCATCTCTTAATTGGCCAAAGGGATCCGTAGCTACAGGGAAAATGCAAGTGTCGAGGATTTCGAGACAAGTCTGCCAGATGATATCATCGTCGTCGGAACCCAGAATAATTTCGCCATCTACAGAAGCCCATGACCAGGATGGCGCTCTATATAAAACAGAGCGTAGGCCTGCAAAAGAATTGACACTCCACATCAATTGCCATTCCAATTCCGGTTTCCATAATCCAGCAACGTACTCATGACCAAATTTCTCGTGTAAATGCCTAGCAACGCCAGAAATGGCCAACAGCTTATCTTTTCCATAAGTCAATTTTCTCTTCGAATATTGATGGACGACCTCGTGCCATTCTTTCAAGAAGCCTGTTTGACGAAGACTTCGGATTGAATGATTCCGTCGGAGATGGTTCTGCTGGTTGGAAATTTTGCCAAGAATTCCCTCTCGATGATACGCAAAGCGACTTTGCTCGAGCGGATTAAGCTCAGCAGGGAGGCCATCCGGGAATGTCTCGCATGCATAGCCATGTTTGCATTGCCAGAACAGCTGAGACTTTCCGAAGTGCAGAGAACGTGGAGCCAAATATTGTTCTTGGAAAGTCCAGCCTCGTGCAGCTATAGGGCTCCAAGTAATACATCGGTCGTAAAGATGAAGATCCACACCCTGGAATACCTCATCATCCGATTTCTTGGTATCGGGGGGAACAGAAAACTCAAGTCGCTTTACTAAAGACGGTGATCTCTGAAAGAATAGTCCCTCACTCCCGTCTTGAGCTCCCGCCGCTGTGAGGTTCAAAGTTGATAGCCCGTAAACCATACTCATTAATGCTGACTCTTTTTGCCAGTCTTCATCGTCGTCTTGGATAATACATAATGAGTCAATCCAGAGATAACGAAAGCCCAGTCGCTTTGTTACAACTATGCTATCCTGGAATGTTTTGCTCAGCTCCTGAATGGGAATCGACTTCTGAAACGCTTTTATGTTGCCCTTCAAGAGCATCAAGAACTTCAACGTCCCCCAACAGTGACTCAAAGTGAAGTACTTAATATCCTGGCTAAGGTTTGCAGACTCGCAAAGCCGAATATCGGTGAGAATTCCCGATCTCCCAAGATCAAGCAGACGCGTCGGTAGCCTATGTAGCTTCGTCCGCTTCGAACATGGCCTGTGATTTTCCACGCACTTCTTGAGCCAGTAGTGGGAAATGTACCAAGAAGCGTCACAATTGGTATTGCTATTGATGCGATGCTTGTACTCGTTAATTGCTAGACTTTGTCAGTTAGGAATTCAGTCATTCAGTAAAGTAGAGCCATGTAAATACCTTGGACGCTTTCCACGAAAGCGATTTTACCCACAGTGTCATAGTCATTAGCCTTTCGATAGGTGAGATATATATACGACATATCAAGCTGGTGCCAGAGATTGGGTTGTTGATAGAGAGTAGGACCACACATTTCAGCTACTGGGGTCGGAGTTTGATTGCGGAGTTTGAGAATCTCCGCATCAGGCAACTGGCTGTAGAAGATGCTGCATTGTGTACACCCAGCAGAAGCGGAAGCTTCTAAGGCAAAAATGTTGTGATGTTGTGACTGATGCATTGACTTGGATTTGGATGCGGCATTTTTGTGGTGGATTAAACACTTTTCGCAGAATTTAAGTGAAAGGTACTTGAGACCAGCTGAATCAGGCATGGCACAGAGTACGCAGAATATATTTGTCAAGAAAATCGGTTGAGATAGACACAAGTGTTACAAGTCTACCGTTAGAGCTATTTGGCAAGAGGGATATGTAAAGTTAGAGAAAAGGCAAGTATTAATTAACTGGGTATATCTACACCGCTAGAGTGATGTTTGGGGTTTAGGCATCAGCGAGGGATGGGCATAATTACAGCACGTGGCATCACTTGCCTAAGCCGAAGGTGAGCCTGGCCTGAGCCGAGCCTGAGCAAAGGCGGCGCTGCTCACATAAGACATAGAGTTAGGAAGAGCAAACATTCCGGTGGGGGAACACGACAACCAGCATGCCAGGAACGAACATAAATACCGCCGGCACGGGTATGCTGCTGTCATCGCCGTGATCGAGGATCATGATGGCCTCTTTCTCAGTCGGTTGGCCACCTTTTCATTGATGTTGCGAGATAAAGACCCGCAACTGCGCTCGACGCTGCTCGGGAATGAGAGCGTGGCCTCCATATTCAAATTCCACCGGTTACGGTTCAGCAGCGTCACTGCAGTGATGCCCGATTCCCATGGGATTCGCTGCCCTTCCTGGAAGCAGGTATGATTTAAAAGGTCCACATACTTGACCTCCTGCTCGCCTTTCCGGATCCGCGTTAGCAGTTGCTGGAGCTTTGGGTCTCCCCCGGCGAGAACCTTCTGCTACAAATCTTATTGATTATCCTGTCTCTCAAGTCCCTACTCCAGCTGATGACACAAAAAGACCCCAACGGAATCGACATCCCACCCCAAAAGTTCTGCATCTTGGCTAGATACAATCTCTATAATTTGAACTTAATCAATTCAAGCATTATGATCACATACTCCTCCACTTGTGACTTCGTTCCGAAAGGCTTTTTTGGGCAGCCCGCACTTCGCGGGATGCTTCACCTGTAGAAGGAGACGGGTGACGGCGATCCAGTGCCCAGGCACCAACGTACTGCCACCCGCCGATAGAATGTTCGAGAAACTTGCTCTTACGCCACACGCGTGACCAGTGTACGCCACACACGTGGCTAAGCCTGAAAGGCGTGGCTAAGATATAGCGAGCCCGAGTGTGAATATAGTAAATTTTATCTAGGCTAATGTACATTACTAAGCACTGAAACATGCGGACCATCTCATTGCACCGGTGCAACTCCCGGACTGTATTCTTTCCTTCTCTAGGTGTCTTTAAAATTTGGAGCCATATTATTTCGTAATAGGACCTTTCCTTAAGTGCTCCGAATTTTAAAGAGACTTTAATAGTCGCGATTAAATAGAGGGGGATAGCTGAAGCGGCGATTGGCGGCATAATTAAAACAATTGACAATATAGTTAACCACAGTCTTTTTCTTATACTTAAGTGGTCTCCTTAGGGAGAAATAACTAAAGAAGATAATATATAAATAACAATTTTATAAACTTGCTAAAATAAATTTTATAATTCCAAAACTGTAGATTCGTCTCGTAATAGGGTGCGTCTCGGTACGCAGGGACAGACGTTAACCCCGTGCCTAGATAAACTGATAGAATCTCTTTGTTTCCTTATCTTTCTCTTTTATTTTCACTCTTCTCGCCTCTATGTCAGATTTGGCCCGTATGAGGCACTCGGAGTTAGAAACAAATCCCTTTACTTAATAGACCAATTATAAGCTGCGGTATAGCTTAGGTCAAAGACATATCCGTAACTTGTATATAACCGAATATCAGACAAGGAACCGGATTTGATCCTTCTCAAGGGGACCAAATAAGGACCTGTACTAAAAATAACTGAAAGGGATCTATTCAGGCTTGGTGCTTCTCATACTAATTACAATTCTAATATTACATGCCAGTAGACTATTTTCCATTATCGATATATGAAAAGCTAAATCAACTATAGTATAATATGAGTATCCCGCTATAAGTGATTGTTTTCCTTCAGGCGAATTTCCAATATCGTAACAAATAGCAATCTCTTCTAGTTTTCCTTTTTTGGGATTCACCCGTTTAAAAGGTATTCTAATCTCTGTTTCTAAAACAAAATACTATATCGCTTAAAACACCCTTATTACCTTACTCCTATCTCTTATTACTTACTGATCAGGGCTTCGACAAGCAATATATAAATTGTTTTTAACGAAAAAACCATTATTATCCGGACCGATAATATCTATATATTATTAGTTTAAAATTTTTATATAATACATCGAATATAATTTATATATTTACTAAGGTTAAGTATAGAAACTTGATCTTGCCCAGTATAATCAATACAAGTATATATAAGTTCTAAGGTAATACTATCGAATATATATTTATTACAAGTAGTAGAAAACCCGCTATTATAATATATTAGTATTCGGTTCCAGAAGGGCTTATAGAAAGCTCACCCAATAAAAAACTATTTTGATATTAGTATTCGTAATATATAAAAGACTGCTATAGTTGAAGTACTTATAGATAAATTTCTATAAATATTAGAAATATACTTTTCTAATGGAATAAACGAACTAATAAGGCCAGATTCAAGGGTATATTTTATATTAAGAGTATATCCGTTTGCGAGATCAAACCCGCAAATACCGTTTGGAAGTTATTTGGAATCCGTTTGCCAAATAGCAATTAATGTAATATAAGGATTTGATAGAAATAGTTACTCAGGACTTGGTTGGCAAGGTTGAATAAGAATTGTTTCTGTAAAACCAGGCTTGGCAGGTAATATCGTACAAGTAATAGAAGCGGCAACTCCAGGGCCAGTAACGCTAATAGCGGTTATTACTCCGGACTGGGTTAGCAGATATAGTAGACCGCTAATATTTCTATATATACCGCCAAATGTATCAAAATCCACCTTGCTTTGTATACCGTTCATATAAATAAAAACCTCAATATAATTATTGGCGTTTCCAATATTTATAAAAAATACATCTTGACTATTAAGAGTATCCGTTATTTATACTAATATCGTAGTTAGTATCTCATACAAATTTATGTATATATATAAAAAGAAATTCCATATTCGAAAAGGATAAATAGTAGAAGCAAAATTCAAGCAGAGAAATTAGGAACTTACTTAAATTTTGCTAAAGTGCAATTCCAATCTCAAACTCGGTAATCAAATCCTTATTTGTATCGAAAAATGCTGCAGTAATAAGCCCCAAGGCTTGGCGAGAATTAATTATAGGATATAAAGTTGGAGAGGAATTAATAATAGTAAATAGGATAACTAGACAGGCAAGAATGGTTCGAGTTTGGAAGGACAAAATAATGCTCTGTATTGTAAATAAGTTTAATGAGATAATTGTTCGTTTAAATAGTAATAGTATTATATTTCGTAACAGCTGGGAGTTGTACTTAAGGGGTGAGGATAAAGAAAATCCGAGACTTTGCTTATATTATACCTTGAAAGAAGTTCAAATTATATATTTTTAGCTGGCTATACGGGTATAGTATGGGAGGGAAACTGCGACAAGACAAAAACCCATATAAAGTACACTAGAGTGCAAAACGTAACTTGACAGCAAAATAACAAATCAAAAGCGTAAACAGTAAAGCATAAACAGTATACAGTGTATAAAAGCTCAATTGATTAAATACTCATAAAGGATTGTTGTCTAAGTCTACAGAAAAACCAGCTTTCTTATATGATTTCCGCAAGTCACGTGCAAAAGGCCGCGGCCTTTGCTATGTGACCTAAACCTCAAAACCGCCAAAACAACGCGATTTTCGACGAGTACGGCCTGCCGTACTACAATAGTTAACTTTACAAAAATAGGTCTTAATCTTTGTGCTTTTTTTACATTAAACGAGGAGAAAAGATAACATAGAGCAAGGATAAAGGAATAAATACGGAGTACCAAGCAGCTATACCAATTATAATGGCCGAAATCTCGTTATTAATCAGCCAGTACTCACCTTTCAGTAATGTTTAGACCTTTTCACTGTAATAATAATATAGAGTAGATTTTGACTGAGGGTTATTTGTAGATATTGTCTGACTGTACTAAGTAAGGGAGGTAACATTTAGACTCATCCTAGCGCTGGCGTGTGGAGCTTCGCCCTGGAGCCGAATTCAGCTACCTAAAGTTAAAGGGGGGAGGGAGCCGAAACTGGTTCCGACAGGGATCCCGTTTTAGCGCCTGCTTGTACCGATACGTGAGATGACCTTATAGTATAACATAGTTGCACCCGCTTTTAGAATTATGAGAGGCAGTACTGGTCCAAATCTGGACTTACCATTCTGATCTCCTAAATGACTGGTAATCTCAGAACCGGCAAGTAGGGGTTCCGGATAACGTATTAATAGAGAGCCGAAATTGGCTCCAGTACAGGAGCCGAAGTCGGCCACCCAGAAGGTGAAGAAGGGAGCCGAACCTGGCCTCCGGATGCTTCCGAGTATAGGGGATTGCATTTTGGCGCCTGCTTGTATTCTTGATTATCGCTAGTGGCCCATCAGAAATTAGAAAAGACCTCGATTGTTTAAAGTATAAAAAAACGGCAGTCCCTTCTTTGAGCAAACCAAATTCAAGCTCTATTATTCTTGATTTCTTTATAACCGACGGCTATTATCGATTATATATACTTCCATCTTCGGAATATAATTAAATATATCTTATCTCATTCTATCTTCCTCTTTTATTAATATTTCTATCTCGATATCTATATCTTCCAACCCCGATATATAATACTTAACTACTGCTATAATTCTCCTTACTCTTAGATATAATATTGTTATATATATACCGTATTTTAAGTCAACTATAAAATAATTATTTCAAGATATTTAAACTCTTATTATTATAAAAAACTAGTAAACCAATACAGGTACAATTTCCCAATTCCTCTCTATTACCGAATCTCTTGACCCATCTAACCTTATCTCGCAAGCCTTAATAGTACTCTCAGCCGAACTTAATAAATTAACTCGGAAGAGCTTTTTGGATCTTCAGTTTTTATAAGGCAATAATCCGAATCCAGTAGTTTAAGCGGTAAATACTATATTTGTTAACTAAGGTATATTCCAGTTTATTATAAGCGGACTATAAAGCCTTATAAATAACGGTATAAATATAATACCGGATAATATTACTGCTACTATCCAGT